TTCACATATTCTCTTAATTAGCGTTATTATCATTAATTACATTACAATTCACAAGCCGATTTAACGTTCATAACTTTATACAAATTAGAGGTCACTCCCTTAAGATCTGGACCGATTTAGTGATGATTAATCCAAGGGTAATTTTCCCCCGGCACAAATCCATTGTGGGCGTCAGTCACCGCTCCTTCTCTTATCACACTTTTTTCCATCTATTACTGTGGTCCCGTAAATCCCGTTCCCCCACTCTCCACCAGGAACAATTACGAACTTTTTATTATGAATGAGGCCTATATTAATCCTTAGGCCACCGTGAACGTCAATTTCGTGGTTCCATGTTTTCTCAGCTTCCTCACCACCATTCAAAACAATACGCGCCCTCCCCCCCGCACATCCGCGCATGCGCAAAGGGAACTCTTGGTTCTACTCTTATTTTCAAATACATTTTTGACCCATATAGACACATTAAACACCTATTAGGCACTATAGTTTCGGAAAATCAAAAAATTTTCCACACTTACCTAACCTAACGCCGGCGGCACGCTGATGTCCTGTCCAGAGTAATCACACTTGTTCCATGACGGTGTTAGGTTAGGTAATGTTTGTCAGGAAACAGGACAAGTGTTTCCTGACGCGGGTCTTAGTCATATGATGTCCCACAGCTGGAGCTTTTGGTCATCTCACCGAGGCCCTCCTCTCATAGTTAACAGGGTTTAAAGACTATCGACTACACGAAGGTCATTAAGGTTGCACGTAGCCTGTTTACCACCACACAAAAATACTTTAATCCCTAAAATAGGGATTAAAGTAAACTCTCAGTATATATATCCTGAGAGAATTATATCTCTCAGTGTATATATCCTGCAGCAGTAGCAGCAGCAGTAGTAGTAAGAGCAGTAGCAGTAGTAGTAATAACAGTAGCAGCAGTAGTAATAGCAGTAGCAGTAGTGGTAATAGCAGTAGTAGTAGTAGTTGTAATAGCAGTGGCAGCACTAGTAGCAGTAGCAGTAGTAATAGAAGTAACAGTAGTAGTAGTAGCGGTAACAGTAGTAGTAACAGTAGCAGCATAGCAGTAGTAGTAGTAGTAATAGCAGTGGCAGTACTAGTAGCAGCAGCAGTAGTAATAGAAGTAGCAGTAGTAGTAGTAGCGGTAACAGTAGTAGTAACAGTAGCAGCATAGCAGCAGCAGTAGCAGCACAGTAGCAGCACAGCAGCAGCACAGCAGCAGCACAACAGCAGCAGCAGCAGCAGCAGCAGCAGCAGCAGCAGCAGTAGCATCAGCAGCAGTAGCAGCAGTAGCAGCAGCAGCAGAAGTAGCACAGCAGCAGCACAACAGCAGCAGTAACAGCAGTAGCAGCAGTAACAGCAGCAGTAGCAGCAGTAACAGCAGCAGCAGCAGTAGCACAGCAGCAGCACAACAGCAGCAGTAGCAGCAGCAGTAGCACAGCAGTAGCAGGAACAGCAGCAGCACAGCAGCAGCACACCAGTAGCACAGCAGCAGCAGCAGGAGTAGCACCACCACCACCATCACCACCACCACCACCTAAAAGTACTTGTCTCAAGATTAATGGGGTGAACACATCGACTCCAGATTGAGGGACTGATTACAGCCAGGGCCGGATTACCGCATAGGGAAACTAGGCATTTGCCTAGGGGCCCGCGCATTTGGGGGCCCCGCGGTCCAAGGGGTTCAGGGGCTCATCCAAGACTGCACACATGGTGCAAGTGCAAAGGGGTCCCTACCTAAAAAGTTCAAGTGTTTGGAGAGTAAAATTGATTTTTAAAAATTAATCAAAACTAAAATAAATAATGAAATAAAATAAAATAAAACTGCAAAATACTTTGCAATAAGTGTAGATTCAACACCAGATATTTCACATACAGATCAAATTGACATTCATTATTCACTTTGTCGACTCCAGTGGTAAGCCTGTAGAGCGCTTTATAAAATTTATTCATCTTTCAGGCCATGATGGAGACACAATGATGAATGTAGTACTGGATACTCTGCTTGAACATGATCTCTCTATTATGGATTGCTGTGGCCAGAGCTACGACAATGCAAGTAACATGTCGGGTAAATAAAATGGATTGCAAGCCCGTGTCAAGCCCGAAACAAGCTTTTATGCCACAAGACGGGCAGAAAGCAGCAACTTCACTCTGGCTGTACCCTTCTCCAGAACATCACTCCATCTGAAATCATACATACCCAGGATGACTCGAGTATGAAACACATTCGTACAGCATAATGATGTCAACGAGATAAAGTCAGTTGATCAAATGAAAATGCTGGCCCACAGATGGCTCCAACTTCATCCTGTTCCATACTTGTATGTCTCTTAACAATAAAAATGCTTTCAAATGAGCTGATGTAGGTAACAGCTCTTAGCTTGCCAATAAAGTTAGGAATCCTTAACCTGTAAATAGCTTGTCAATAAAGCTAGGGATCCTTAACCTTGTCAAACCCTGTGTAAAAAAAAAAAAAAATGTGCCCTGCTCACCACATTCTCTTAATCTTGTTGGGTCATGTGCTGCGGAGTGTTGTGTCGCTGCAGTTTCATTTTTTGGACTTTTACAAGCACTCTTTAATTTTTTCTCTGCTTCAACGCATCGGTGGAGTATACTCAAGTCAACCATTCATGGAGATGTCATCAAATCATTATCAACAATAAGGTTGTCAGCGCAGCATGATGCAACACATGCTTTGAAAGACAGCTTTGCTGAAATACGTTCTGCTTTGATCCAAATAGCAGAGGATGAAGACCAGACAGCAACTACAAGAAGCGAAGCAGCCAGCTTAGCATCAAAATTGGAAGATTTTGAATTGGCCTTACTCTGTGTGCTTTGGGACTGTATACTGGAACGGTTAAATGCCACGAACAAGACACTTCAGAAAATTGAAATTGAAATGGCTACTTGTGCTAACCTCTATGCAGGCTTAGTGGAATTTGTAAGCTCACTTCGCAATGATGAAGCTTTTGAAATGTTTGAAGAGAAAGCTAAACTGCTGGTGAAAGACTACAGTTACCGGGCTGATCATCAGCGGTCAAGGAAGAGGAAACGCAATTTTGAAGAGCCAGACAATGAAATTGTGTTGCTACCAAGGCAGAAATGTAAGACAGCATACATACCAAAGCACATGCCAAAGCCAGTCATAGCATGAACCAGTTCAAGAAGACTGCCAAAAAGTGTCTGATGAATGAAGCTACAGAAAGGGAGGGGAATGATTTTCTATTTTTTAGCTAAAATACGTGTAAATTTTACCTTATCCCTAGTAATGACCCTCGTATTGTAGATAGTCTTAATGACCCTCGTGTAGTAGATAGTCTTTTTAGTATGATAATAAGATGTTATCTTCATTGTAGAATAATAAGAAAATATTATAACCTTTATATTATAATAATAAGGTAAAAGGACCCCAATGGAAATAAGTCACTCTGTCTGACTTTTTTGGGTTATCCTAGGTTCTCTACACATATGCTGCTATGTATGATAATTCTATGTAACTGTATTTGTGTATACCTGAATAAACTTACTTACTTACTTCGTCATTCTGAATTCACTGATTACAGAATTAGTGAAAAGAAAAGAAATCTACCAGAATCTCAATGACAAGTTTGGATTTCTGTTCAAAATTACTACTATGCCAGATGCAGAATTGAGAGAAGCTACATTAAAGTTGCAACAACATCTTTCAGCAGATGTTCAGGACACATTTGTTGAAGAAATAGTTCATTTTTCTGGGTATATGAATCAGATTAAAGCTCCACCTGAAAAATGTGCACCCTCACCTGCTTTGAAACATTTAAGAAATGCAGGTATCTCAGAAACCTTCCCTAATGTTGACATAGTGTATCGGTCCAAGTCGGACCGAAACGTCGTCGTAAGCTTCTCTCTTTTATGTGCGGGTTATTTGTGTAGCGTTCCAGTCACGGTATTGTGCCTTTTTTGTTATTTATTGTGTATCGCCTTTACCTAACACTTCCAGCTACTAACTGTGAAGGAGAACGTTCATTTTCTGTTTTGAAAAGAGTGAAAAAACCAGCTCCGTTCAACAATGAGCCAAGACAAATTGTGTAACCTAGCCTTCTTGACCATTGAGTCTGATCTAACAAGAAATATTGATTTTCAGAATATAATTGATGTTTTTGGGCCCCAATGTGAAATCCAGAAAAAAGTTTATTTAAGAAGTGCCTGTGAATATAAACAATTCTTTACTTTCTTGAGTTTATATGATTTGATAGTCTTATGCATGATGCAAATGATAACAATAATGGTCAGTGATTTATAAAGGGAATAATAGTGCTGTAGTGGTTATGCTGAATATAATAGGTACATGATGTCACTACTTTAATAGCCTAATCTAGTAATACTATGCTCTCTTGAGTTTATTCTCTTTAAAATGCATGATTTAACAAGATAGTTATAATGGCTGTTGGTAAATGGTTTTGGCTGTCTTGATGTACTTTCCCTATTAAATTTAATCTAAATAGCCAGAATGTATTTAATTAGACCTTAAACAGGCTCACACCGACCCCCTCCCCCACCCCCAAGCTGGAAGGGGTCGCTTCGCTTACCCGTAACTCAAAGGGGCCCCGCCAATCTGAATAGCCTAGGCCCGGAGACTTCTTAATCCGGCCCTGGTTACAGCATGTATATAATGCTTATATAAAGTAACAGGGACCCATAATAACATTATTGGGTTATCTTAAGTTGAATCTAACGCCTTTTTTTGTCCCCATTACATATGAGTAGCCTCAAGACAAGGTCCCAGGAGCGAAAACATTTCTAACATATCCTAGTGTTTGGTCACGTGTCTTACTACACCAAAACTTAGTTACATACTTACTCTAATAGCTTAGTACATCAAAACAGATCAATTGGACGATGGATTCAGAGGGACGGGGAAGAGGGGATCGATTCAAGGGAGGGCTGGAATGAGGGGAAGGGGGTAGTTCCGGGGGACAAGGGGTGAGACGCACATTCCAGTCTCAGATTGCCAGGAGAGTGTGTGGTGAGGTGAAGACAGCAGCAGTATACAGCACAGTAAACCTACACCACCTTCGTTAAATGTTGCGGACACTCTGGTGTGTATAATGTAACGTGGGTGTACCTGTATCGTGACGTGGGTGTACCTGTGTCGTGACGTTGGTGTACCTGTATCTTGTGAATACTGAGCTCATTATCTCTACGCCTGCTACTACTGCTGCTGCTGCTGACGAGGTAAACTCTTCACGTGTTTGTTCTATCTGCTCTACATCATTTATTTTACCTTATTCTACCTCACTCTACCTTGTTTTACCTCGCTCTACCTTCTACCTTGTTCTACCTCACTCTACCTTGTTTTACCTCACTCTACCTTCTACCTCACTCTCCCTTGTTCTACCTCACTCTACCTTGTTCTACCTCACTCTCCCTTATTCTACCTCACTCTACCTTGTTCTAAGTAATAAGCTAGTAGACAGCCACCATCCAGCGAGTTACTACTGTCCTCTCACACTAATTTATAATGGAAACCGGTTCATTTTTTACACTTTGGCAGGATACTGAAATTTTCTTTCTGTTTCATGAAGACGTAAAGATGACAAGTAAATCTTACAGACTTCTTACATTCGCTATTCACTTACCTTAACTTTCCTATATCCTTACTAATAGTTTTTAATCTTTTAATATTTCCTGTCGAACCTAGCAAGCCTAGTCTGAGGCCATGCTGTGGGGAGGCCTGGTCTGAGGCCATGCTGTGGGGAGGCCTGGTCTGAGGCCATGCTGTGGGGAGGCCTGGTCTGAGGCCATGCTGTGGGGAGGCCTGGTCCGAGGCCATGCTGTGGGGAGGCCTGGTCTGAGGCCATGCTGTGGGGAGGCTGGTCTGAGGCCATGCTGTGGGGAGGCCTGGTCTGAGGCCATGCTGTGGGGAGGCCTGATCTGAGGCCATGCTGTGGGGAGGTCTGGTCTGAGGCCGTGCTGTGGGGAGGCCTGGTCTGAGGCCATGCTGTGGGGAGGCCTGGTCTGAGGCCATGCTGTGGGGAGGCCTGGTTTGAGGCCATGCTATGGGGAGGCCTGGTCTGAGGCCGTTCTGTGGGGAGGCCTGGTCTGAGGCCATGCTGTGGGGAGGCCTGGTCTGAGGCCGTTCTGTGGGGAGGCCTGGTTTGAGGTCGTGCTGTGGGGAGGCCTGGTCTGAGGCCGTGCTGTGGGGAGGCCTGGTCTGAGGCCATGCTGTGGGGACAATAATCCCCAGAACTACTAACACATAGGTGACAAACACCTCACAAAAATGTGAGGCTGTTTTTTGTAAGCGGGAAGACTTGTGCCAAATATCGACTATCTGACTGTTATTTCATAGGGTTTATTAGGTTTAATACTCATCATCGACTAGCGAGAGTCTTCAAGACTACATGCAACCTGTATACCACCAGTCAGTCACTTTAATCCCTAGGATTAAATTCATAGTGTATATGCACTGAGAGATACTCATCTCTATGTAAATACACTAAGAGATACGCATCTCTCGGTGTATATACACTGAAAGAGACACACACCTCTCCCGGTGTATATAACCTTGACATACTTAGATCTTGGTGGGAGAGGCGGGGGTAATCAGGTTTATGCCAGGAACGAGAGGATCCATCCAATTCCTTGAATCAAGAGCCATCCACCAGCATCAAAACACACTCCTATCTTCAAGGGATCCACGTTCAGAGATTACCATTACGGGTAATAATGAACAAGAAAGGCGTATATTACTATAAATATGGATGTTCTTAGTGCTGATAATGTGATCAACATCCACAGTGATACAGAAGAGTTAATACTTTCACTGGTAGATCGTTTATATATTATGTATAGTATAGATCCTAATATTGACAAGACGAGGCAGATATTTAGTGATGTATCCGACCTACTTCCGCTAGTGGGGCCTCGTTCACATATGACCACGTCTTCACCTGCTGCATCTCACTACTTCTTCCACTAATTACAGCATAAAAGTCTCCTTCTTCATGACTCTATATTAGACTGACTTAAGCCAGCTGTGTGGGTGAAACATCTCATAAAGACACCCAGGTGCTGCACTCGCCATAATTATCAACTGGTCTGTATTGGATATCTTTGAACTAATGACTTAAGCACCTTGCTTCTCTTCGTGGGAGGTGCCTTGATGCCGGCGAAGGAGGGCTCTTGATCTAGGTAATTTGAGATATCCTCCCCTTCCTCGCAACGAATCTCATTTTGTCTCCCATTCTCCAGGCACTGTATGACTCCTGCGAGTTCATCTCTCTCCCCATGAATGTGCTGCCAATGTTACTACTGCCAAAAATAATAATAATATGTCACCCTTCAGTGTGTGTGTGTGTGTACTCACCTAGTTGAGGTTGCGGGGGTCGAGTCCGAGCTCCTGGCCCCGCCTCTTCACTGATCGCTACTAGGTCACTCTCCCTGAGCCGTGAGCTTTATCATACCTCTGCTTAAAGCTATGTATGTGTGTGTGTGTGTGTGTGTGTGTGTGTGTGTGTGTGTGTGTGTGTGTGTGTGTGTGTGTGTGTGTGTGTGCGTGTGTGTGTGTACCTTTTTCTGCCTGACGCTAGAGTGCTTATGTGTGTTCCTACGTGATTTTCTGCGGTGCGTGCCTATATGCGTCTTACGTGATTGTGTGCGGTGTGTGCCTGTGTGCACGCCTATGTGTCTGTCTGTGCATGCTTATGTGTGTGTCTATCTGAGTGTCTTCCCGCATGCGTGCCTATGTGGCCTTTTGCCGGCTGTATCCATTTCTTGAACTTTGTGGTCTCGTGGACCTTCCCCCCCCCCCTCTTCCCCAAGTGTCAGGTGTGCACACAACTGGCTAAACCACACTAGAGGATCAATAACTGACACCACACGCAACTACGATCATACTGAACCAAGAACAAAGATATAAACTCTGATTACCAGAGTACCACTCAGGACTACCTTGCCCCCAATGTCCACTCAGTACTAGTGAACTGTTAATGGAATATAATACCGGCAAGCTGAGTAATAAGATACATATACAACACTTGGGTATCTATAATATCGAAGCTTTTCTCCTGCGCAGCAGTCTTCGTCAGTCGAATACAGAGACCACTTTAATAATAAAGACAGTGAATGAAGTGGAGAAGTAAAGTTAACATGACTTAAGAAATCGTAATGACACGATTGCAAATAAACCATACCCCCGGCCGGGATTGAACCCGCGGTCATAGAGTCTCAAAACTCCAGCCCGTCGCGCTAGCCACTAGACCAGCTAGCCACAATAAGATTCATCCAACTAGGTATATTTCTACACCATAGGAAAGTTAGCACAGGCACCTCTGTGACCACAAATGCAAGTTTTTACAGACGAATCTCCAGCTAGCGTGGCCGTGACGAACTCTAGCTCAAGTCCCTTCACTGCCGTCAACATGACTTAAGAAATCGTAATGACACGATTGCAAATAAACCATACCCCCGGCCGGGATTGAACCCGCGGTCATAGAGTCTCAAAACTCCAGCCCGTCGCGCTAGCCACTAGACCAGCTAGCCACAATAAGATTCATCCAACTAGGTATATTTCTACACCATAGGAAAGTTAGCACAGGCACCTCTGTGACCACAAATGCAAGTTTTTACAGACGAATCTCCAGCTAGCGTGGCCGTGACGAACTCTAGCTCAAGTCCCTTCACTGCCGTCAACATGACTTAAGAAATCGTAATGACACGATTGCAAATAAACCATACCCCCGGCCGGGATTGAACCCGCGGTCATAGAGTCTCAAAACTCCAGCCCGTCGCGCTAGCCACTAGACCAGCTAGCCACAATAAGATTCATCCAACTAGGTATATTTCTACACCATAGGAAAGTTAGCACAGGCACCTCTGTGACCACAAATGCAAGTTTTTACAGACGAATCTCCAGCTAGCGTGGCCGTGACGAACTCTAGCTCAAGTCCCTTCACTGCCGTCAACATGACTTAAGAAATCGTAATGACACGATTGCAAATAAACCTATGGTGTAGAAATATACCTAGTTGGATGAATCTTATTGTGGCTAGCTGGTCTAGTGGCTAACGCGACTGGCTGGAGTTTTGAGACTCTATGACCGCGGGTTCAATCCCGGCCGGGGGTATGGTTTATTTGCAATCGTGTCATTACGATTTCTTAAGTCATGTTGACGGCAGTGAAGGGACTTGAGCTAGAGTTCGTCACGGCCACGCTAGCTGGAGATTCGTCTGTAAAAACTTGCATTTGTGGTCACAGAGGTGCCTGTGCTAACTTTCCTATGGTGTAGAAATATACCTAGTTGGATGAATCTTATTGTGGCTAGCTGGTCTAGTGGCTAGCGCGACGGGCTGGAGTTTTGAGACTCTATGACCGCGGGTTCAATCCCGGCCGGGGGTATGGTTTAAGTAAAGTTAAGATATAAGAATATAAGAAAGAAAGAGCACTGCAGCAGGCCTACTGGTCCACGCTAGGCAAGTCCAGTTCACACCTATTCACGTACTTATCTAACATGTAATAATATGATACAAAACATACCAACAAGAGTACTGTAACTATTGTCCCATTCTTCTTCTCTCTCTCTTCTCCTGGCAGGATATACGTAAATAGCAGCAGTGAAACGAAAAGGAGGTAAAGGAAGAGGAGTCGAGGGAGGACATCGACAGGGTGTCCTTGCCTCCTCCTACGTCGAGATGTCAACGCCCTTATTCACCCGGCTGAGCCTGCCGGATGGGCTGGAGGAGCTGGTGGAGGTGCTAGCCAGGGAGGTCATGAGGAACCAGTACTCTGACCCCTCAGATATATACAACTTCGCCTGGAAGCACTTCTCAGAGATGGTGGCACGCCGTAACGCCCTCCCTGGCAAAGGTAAGTTGTGAGTACAGTATTTTTGCAACATCTGAGAATCTTTATTGTGGAAACATTTCGCTAACAAGTGACTTCCTCAGTCGATGTGTTCAGTCCATCAGTCTTGATGGGCCTTACACCTGCTTCCATTGCTTACCTAGCAGTAAATACGTACCCTGGTGTATGCCTCCTTACATATTCTTGTCATATTCACCTATGCAAGTAAACAGGTATCTGATGGCTATTTAGCTGTTGTGGTGTGTATCCTAGGGAAGGACTTGGTTTTCTCGGGTTATCCTGAGTTAATAACGTACCTCAGGTTTGTCTTCTCTCCTACACACCTTAGATGAAAAATACCAGTACCCAGGGACCTCGCCAGGGTCAGGAATGTTTACTCTCTCTCCCAGATCCAATAAACACACTCATGTTTGTAAACGGAAATTCGATCTCCTGCAAGCACGACTCAGTTATGATACACACACATATAAAATCAGACCAATTGTCTGTCGACAAGTGCCTTTTACAAGCGGTGACTAGTACACACACCACACACACACAGTGTCAGAGACAGGCAAGACGTTACATAAAAAACTCACAGAGAACGTTTCGATCTGTCCTGGATCGTCCGGAGCCAATAGAGAAATCGTCTCACTTCCTCTCCAAATTGCGAGTTAAGTAAGTTATGGATTGTTGGAGCTACGGTGTTGTAACTCACTCTTCATTACGGTAACATACAGTATGTCTAGCGCCCATACACTCATAAAGAGTATATAATTATTCTTCGTCTTCATGGTACTTTGCTCTAACAAATGATCCCAGAGTAAATTGGTAAGATTCTTCCTGGAACTACTGGGTCCACGAGACCATGTAGGCCAGGATTAGTTACAGTAACTGACAGTACTTAGTGCTGCAGACAGGGTAAGCCAGTTGAAGCTTAATTATGTTCCCAAAATTGTTCACAATCAGTGTCCAGAATATTCTGCAGCAAATTTTGCCCAAGTTATGAACCAAAGCCAGTATGGTACTAGGCGACATGAGCGCGATTTTATAGTTTCTACAGTAGATGGCCAGGCCTCAAATACCTGCTACTACACAGCAATGACAGAATGGAATAGGCTGCCTGGCTATGTCAAGACTAGTCCCAGCATGAGCCAGTTTAGGAAAAACACTTAAAAGAACATTATGAGTGAAGCAACAGAAAAGGAGGAATGTGGTTTCTTGTCGATATTCATATATTATTCAACTTCTCTTGATACTCACGTGATTATTTTTCATGTACTGAATATATTTCAGTTTATCTGTATTTGATTACCCAAGTATTTTACTGTTTTCATCAACAATAATGACGGGTTATTGCTGTATCTGTAATAATAATCTTTATTTCTACAAGTACAACTTATACAAACCTGGCTGACATAGTGTCAAGCCCCTTGTTACGCAGAGCATTTCGGGTAAATTAGGTTAATTTTCTCCCCAGGATGCGACCCACACCAGCTGACTAACATCCAGGTACCTATTTACTCCTAGCTGAATAGGATTATTTAGATTAGATTTTGCCACCGAAGTGGCTAGTTTATTGTGCACCCCATATCCATCCTGTGGACGGTAGCGCGAGAGCTTATGGATACACAAAAGGCCTAGGAACTAGGCCCCAAAGGGTTAACAGGAATACATATGGATTTATATCTACATATCTATAGTTCACTTATCTGTTACAAGCAAATTTAGGAAATTTGCTTAGTATATCTGGTATCTTATTTTCATTAATAAGATATCTTGACATGTCACATAGGTTATTATACTGTCTGCCTCTGTATTCCTCAATAAGTGGACAATTAAGCACATAGTGTTCAAGAGAGTAACCATATGCCTGATCACATAATTTACAATTAGTTTGATCATCATCTGTGTGTCTCCCAAACTGCCAGAAGTACTTGTAACCAAGCCTAAGCCTGGCCACTACAACATCAGTCAGTCTGTTCACATTGCAAGTTGCTCCATAAACATACTTATCTACGTTCATGTTATCATAGTGGGTTATAGATCTACTCAGGCTTCTAACTGCATTCCTATAACAATCATCTTCATTATTTACTTCTCTCCTAATATTATTCCTAATGCTAGACACAGTTATACCAAAGTTATATTCTACATTCTCCTTCTGGGTGGAATAGGGAGAGCAATGTCTTAAGGAAATACGCCCTAATGTTTCCACCCATACCGGGGATCAAACCATGGACCTCAGTGTGTAAGCTGAGTGCGCTACCAGTCGAGCTACATCACATGAACAACAATGACAATAAGTCACTTTGATTTTTGTAGGTTATCCTGGGTATTGTACACATGTTACTATGTAAGACAACTGTGATCATCCAACACTGTGCAGAATTGTACCTAAATAAACTTGCTTAGTATCCACTAGTCATCTACGACACAGTAACAAACCAGGAAAGTGAGTGAGGCAGCTGTGAGGCAGAGTGAAGCAGCTGTGAGACAGAATGAAGCAGCTGTGAAGCAGAGCGAGGCAGCTGTGCTAGGCAGTCAATATTTACTTAAGTATCTCCTGGCAATGAAGAGAAAACGGAGATGATGGTGGTGACGTCATGGTGGGAGATAAGTCAAGTAAACAAGAAGAATTTTGAAATGTGATGGCGGCACGAGAGAGAGAGAGAGAGAGAGAGAGAGAGAGAGTGAGTCCCATCGTTGAGACAAAAAAGGAACTTGACAGACAAGATCCCCTGTTCTTTGGTGGTTTATTCTCGGAACAAACCAGCAGGATTTCAGAACTGGTGAACACACTTACACGTCACCCACCCAGCTACCCCTATCTCAGCTCAGCAGGTGGTTTTGTGCCTTATACAAGACCACAGAGCTACGTCCCAGTGGCTGCCCCGGTGTCCTACCTGTCTCAAGGGCAAACACCTTACACACTTATTTAGCCAAGCTGAACACAAATATAAGGTGCCGGTCTATCAGCATCCTGTCTGTCAGCATTAGAGGCTACACTGTCAGTGTCGGGGAGCTCAAGCACAGTTTCGCGAACAATCTGAAGAGTGAAGTAGTGGAGGCAGGACCCATACATAGCTTTAAAAAGAGACATGATAAGCCTCTTGAAGGGGAGAGAGGGTGAGCTAGTAGCGACTATTGAAGAGGCGGGACCAGGAGCTGTAACTCGACTCATGCAACCACATACAGGTGAGTATATACGTGAGTGCTCATCGTCCTGACATGATCGTTTTTGGAGAGACATTTTTAGACTACACGACACCGGAAAATTTTGTTAGAATTGTGGATGCGATGTAACTGCAACTCTTGGGTATCTTTATTGAGGAAACGTTTCGCCACACATTGGCTTCATCAGTCCATATAAAGGAGAATCTTGAAGAACAAGAGGAGAATGAGATAATCAGTCCCTCAACCTTGAGTCGATGTGGTCAGTCCATCAATTTTGAATAGAATACGGCATACGTGCGGAGAAACAGCTTGTAAACCGTAGGCAGGAGAGGTGCAGCAGTCGCAGGTGGTGTCACATTTGTCCACGCACAACCTGCCTGTTAGAAACTGGAAACTGGCCAGCCCTTCGCTTGGAGCTCGCCACCTCCTATTGGAATGCTCTTCTCCAAGGTGTTGTTGATAAATAATCAAGTGAATGCCTTCCTTAAACATACCCTTAGTCTTCAAAACAAATATATCCCTCACCGGCAGTATGTGACGAGGCCTTCAGATCAGCACTGGTTCGGTTTTTATTGTCTAGAGGTTGCTGCTGCTAAGTACAAGGTTTAGAGAAGATGTATGAGGCATCCCATTATCTATTACAGGAACCTACAAAGGCAAGCCTGTTGGCAAATAAAAGAAGTCCAAAATTGGGCCATCTCTATATGGGAGGTTGGCACAAAAAGAAAAGTGGCATCAGATAGGATGGGTTCCAAAACCTGGTGGTCTTTGGCCAAGGACCGACAAGGTTATTCACCTCGTGAAATTTTTTCTCCACTAAATCGGAAGAATGATTGTTTCTACTAGCAGTCAGAAGAAAGTTGACCTATTTGCTGAACACTTTGCTGCCAAGATGCAAGTTCGTGATCCAGCAAGAGCTGTGTCAAAGTTGTCAGAGGTGGCAATAAGGCAGGACGAAGTGTATTTCCTTTTTAAATTCTTGAACCATGAAAACGCTGTGGGCCTTGCTAAGGTGAGCCCAAGATTGCTCAGTAGATGAGACCAGCTAGCAGCGCCTCTAACTCGCATCTGTCAACACTGCTTAGCACAGTGTGAATGACCTTGTTGTAGAAAGAAGCAAATGTAGTTCCTGTTCACAGAAAGAAGAACAGAGCGGAAATAAGCAACTACAGACCAGTGTCACTCCGGTTAATCACTGGTAAGATTCTCGAGACAATAATCTCACGGTAGATGGAAGCGTTTTTCGACTACCTCCTGCTTCTTTGTGGCCGTCAATATGGCTTCAGAAAAGGTCACTCTGCTTCTGATCTGCTGATAAACCTCTCCACTATGTACATCAATAGCTGAACGAATCCAAGATTAGTTGCGCAGTAGCACTGAATATTGCTGGTGCTTTCGACCAAGTATGGCACCAGGGACTCTTGGCACTGTAAGTCGCCGGCTCTGCACTATGCCTCCTTAGTGATTACCTTCAAGGTAGAGAGAGAGAGAGAGGGAGAGAGATCAGCAGTGAGCAAAAGGTTATCTATTTTTACTTAACGTAATTGGATACATCAGCAGTGTGCTGCTACACTATTCTATACGATAGTTACACAGTGGGAACAAGAGCTGTTTCCTTGCCATACTGCATCACACAGGATGGGTTACACACACGTTAGGCATAACTACGAGCTCTTCCTTGTAGATATAGTATATACAGTATATTGTTAACCTAGTACAGTAACACTGATGTATCATCTTGCGAACGAGAATTACACAATACATTAAGTTTCAGCAGAAACTAAAGCTTTAAAATATTCATTTTTTTTTTCAACAGCAACAAACTCTACCTCACCTGTACTGCTACC